CCCCAAAACCCCAAAACCCCAAAACCCCAAAACCCCGGGGTACTGATTCACAGTTGAGATATTCTTAAATAATTAATTGTTAGAACCCATATTTTTCATTTTTCGAATTTTTGGAGGACGATCTACTTGACGGGACCGATTGTCAATGTTTACGATATTTCGGGAATTTTGAGGATTTGGAGGGTTCTCTGTGGCCTGAGGGACTTGAGGAAATGCAATAGGAGCATTACTTCTGCTCATGCTCGAGGACTGGTTTTTTATTTGTGGTGAAGGGCTTGGGTTTTCGACATTGAGGATCTGGGGCACTCTATTGCGAGAGGATGGCTCTTTGGGAGCGATATTTTGCTTCCTTTTTCTAGCTCTGCATTTTTTTCTGTAAATTTCCACAGATCTGATCAAGAATAAGAGTCATATTAAGCTTCCTATAACTGGAGACACCGTGAATACTGTTATATAAACCTTTTCAATGAACGGAGTCCAGTCTTCCTTTGAATTTATCCATAAGAGCAACAAAGCTAGTACACAGAATAGAGCTTGATTGATAATTTCAATGATGTTGTCTTGAGGATTCTCAAATGGCCTGACTATGATTAAATAAAGCCAGAAAGCAATGTTAACTCAGAAGAAATATGTTGCTTTGTCGTGGGACGGAGCAGATTCCCCAAATATTAGAAGCGAAATTAGTAATACTCTCAAGAGCACAAACAGGCTCGAGTATAATTTGGAGTATTTGGTTGGCTTGACTCCGTTGAAATACTCAACTCATAGCCAATACTTGTCTTCATCCAACTGGGGAAAAGACTTTCAATACATGAAGAGCGAGAAAGCAAACAGTATTATTGTGAACAATCAGAGCAGGATTCAAAATCCAAGAGATATTATTCTCGATGTTGAGGAGTGGTTGAAGTCGTACAGTTCAGAGAATATTGAGAGATTTATGTATGCCAAAGATTGCATGAATATCCTGATATAGAAGTTGAATGTGAAGAAATTTAGCAATTTGTTGATAAACTTCTGTCATTTTCTGTGCTTCGAGTTCCTTGATCACAAATGTCAAAGAAGTACACCGATGTTAGTGGCCCCTATCAATATAAAAGTGATTATCAGTGATGAACAATTATTGATAGAGCTTTCAGTCCTCATTCCAATACTGTTTAAATACTCATTAGATTGAGAAAATGATGCCCAGTTGGTAAGATCCTGGACAAGTGGAGTATCCTTGATCTTGATGAAGTCGAATGAGAGCATTGTAAAGCTCATCCCGCTCAGAAAGTCCAAAACTTTGGGCGAAAAATACTCAGGAACCAGGGGCAGTAATATTGCCAGTTGTAGGCTGTTCATAATGCTAAAGATAGAGTTGATGGATGATAATGAAAGTATAGATGAAGCACCAGCAAGTGTGACACCCAACGCCACCATAGCAGTCGCAGCTTTAGTTTCGGTAGCAGCTGTAGTTTCAGCTACCTTAGAGCAAGATGTCTGGTCATCAGAGCTCTGATAGCCATCTGATCAAGCCTCTCAAGTGCTATGGTCTCCTAGTGTTCATCGATCGCAGTTTTGAATGGATCATTCTTCTACAGTGATCTCAAACTTCTTGTAGTGAACTTCACTGTTGAAGGAGATCTGCAGTGAAAAATAGAAAGTCTTTTTTTCTGTCAGTTTGGGAGTGGTGTTGAGGTGTAGCTCTTGGTTGACTGCATCCAATTGCACCCACTCAGGTATCGTATTTGAGCCAGTTTGGGCCAGACTAAAGCTGATGGCAGTGTAATTAGCTGATTGAGCTCAGGCCCAGGTGAATTCCAATTTCACCGAAGCGTTGCTCTGGACAGTTTTCAAATGGTCTTGGTTCCACAAAGCCACGTATGTGGTGAACGAAGGATTTGTCGATGACGTGATGTCAGTAGTCGTGATGGACGATGAAGTTGAGATCGTAAGTGTCTTCGTGCTTGTGGTGAGGCTTGGGTTTGATGTTGTTGACGACACTTGATAGGAAGTGGTAATTGGACTGAACAGAGGAGTGTCTTCTTCAAACTCAGCAAGCTGTCCAATGTTGTTTGTGGGTGATCTTGCAAAGAAGAATGCGTAACTAGGTTCTATTCTTCCAGAATGAAACATGAGCTCTTCGCCTTTATATAACAACCTTCCAACTGCAAAAGCACTCGAGCTCACAGACTTGTACTCCTTCACAACTTCTGCAGCCGAGGGGGAGACCAGAATCAACCTTTTTTGATGCAATAATGAGGAACTGCGAATCTGAACGGCAATGAAACCACTGAACTCTTTCATTCAGTAACTAGCATAATACCCACTGTCGTTCCAAATCAGCCCTGAGCTTTGGGGACTCCCGTCGGCGGTGCTGAGTTTTTGGAAAATAAAGTTGCCATCGTACAGTACCATTGTGTAGACCCACTCTTTATCTCTGCTCATCAGAGAGCTGCTGAATTTGTTCACTCAGCCCGAAGTGGGGCAGGCAATGCTCTTCTTCCAGGCCAGGCTGGAGGAGGAGAAGTTGTAGTTCGCCAGGTAGTATTGGTCGGCTGCTGTGTCAGTTGATCCAAAGAACAGCAGATCGGCATTGATAGGGGCCAAATTGGCCTGACTGTTGACTCCGAAAGTAATTCAGTCGAGATTGGTATTTGTCATGTTCCATCTGCAAGTGTGCATGATTGAGCTGATGATGATGCTGAAGTAGAAGCCTTCACTCACTTCCATGTTTGTATTCAAATCCACTGAGGCAGAGCTAACTGACAACTCCCTGGAGATGACCAGGTCTGAAGTCCTGACCTCGAATATCTTTCCCGTTGTCCGGTCTTGGATATAAATGAACTCCCTGTTTGGAGACATGGCGTAGGAACGGTAGTTGCAGTAGATATCATAAGTCATCACTTTCACTTTGGCCAGGGCAGGGTCTGACTTGTAGATTATTGTGTCGTATGGAGCAGATGAACCAAAATACCCAATAAAATAGAGTAATTCATTGCCTTGGTCTTCCAAAATATCAAAAAGATAGACATATGTAAGTCCGGCCATTCCGAAACTTCCAGAGAGAGGAGATCCTGCAGTCTGGGCATCGTTCTGGCACACATTGGCGGTCACAGCTGTGATACATAAGATTAAGATACGCAGATATCTCATTTTTATTATTATTAATAATATAATTCTCAACTATTTATTTGGCGTGGGGTTTTGGGGTTTTGGGGTTTTGGGG